TGGTATTTTCTCAGCATTCAGAGTATTGCACCTATAGGAAATAGGCTCTAGTTTTTCACCAAGAATATTTAAAAAAACCCACAAAACCCAGCTTTGTGATCATTTTTTGTTTTCTTCGCACAAATGTTAGTATGAGTCCAGAAAAGGGGTTGTTTTAGACACTGATGAATATTTTATTAAAAACTGATTTCTAAAACAATTCTGTCTTCCTCTCCTCTCTACTAACATCTGCCTCGTAATACTACAGGGGGAGCATACTGCAGGGCTGTGGCTCTAAGCTTTCTCTAAGCTACCAGCTATACTGTTGCACAGCACTGAGAGGGCAACAGTAATACACGTATCAACAGAATCAAAGTATTCAACAGTTCTAAGCCGTTTCTGGTGTCCCATCCATTTCTGCTTCATTGTTTGCCAGGAGGTGCCTTCAATTTTGTTTTGAGGGATACAGTGGCTGTAACTTGTCACATTTGCAACACATTCCTGAATCCAGCTGCAGGCATGGTCAGCTATTTTAGTGGGTGTGGTGGGGAGGTTGGGTCTCAACAGAGGTTACACAAAAGAAGTGTGGGATTCCAGTGTAGGAGTTTTCAATACTTAATTAATATCCTGTCGTGAAGAGACATGAAAATCCTTTTTCCTGGGCACAAGCTGGGCTCCCTTCATAACATACTAAAGAGAGGCAGTTCGCTTCAAAGAAATAACAAGTGCAGAACAGCAGAGCATTTTGCGTAAAGGGAATGGATGGATATTGTTTGTACATTTCTTACCAGCAATGGGCTGAGGATTTGCAAAGTGAGAAGCACCTTATTAGAGAAGCTGACAGTTCACCTCATTCACATAGAATAATTAGCATCAAACAATGCATCTCATGTGAGGATCTCACTGCGTTTTACAAGCATTAATGAATTTAACCTTAGTATCCTCTCCATTTTACAGCTAGGGATACTGAGGTGCAAGGAGAGTAAATTACTTATTTGAGGGCACAGAGCATATCAGTGGAAGAGAGAGAGGATGGAATAGAATCCAGGAGTCCTGACTCCCACTTTCTCTCTTACTCTATAAACTCTGAGTTCTGGCAAAACTCTCTACTTCCCCTAAACTTACTTATTTTTGCTGAAATAGGGATAAAATTGACCTTGCTAGGAACAGGAGACTCTGGCATTTCCATGAATGAGGGTTTACCAAGTCAGGTAGGAAGATCCTAACTTTGCCTGCGTATGGACACATGCTGTGTGCAGAGCAATACCTGACACGCCGGCCAAATGGTTCCGTGCACAAGATGTGTGGGCTTAGAGGCTGAGACTAGTGTGTGAGTGGCTTTAAGTTGCCAGCCCTCCCCCCGCCCGGTCAGTTTGCTCAGGCAGGTTTTAATACTGGGCAAATGCATTCCCAAGCTTCCACTTTTCCCTCAAATGCTCTAGGTTCCTTCCCCCAGCAATCTCTGCTATTATATATAGAGTCGACTATGCAGCCTGCCTATAGCACCCAGTGAGCATAGTAAGGGGGCAGAGCAGCCGTATGGGAAGTCATATGTGCTGTTCCTGTTACAGGTTAGTATGCATACAGTGGTCACCATCTCAATTTGGGCTCCAAGCCTCTTAGGACTTCGTAAGGCCCTGATGAATTCAGTCTTAAGAATCTGTCTCCTTCACCTCCCTGCCTGCATTAACTTCCTACCTAGACTATACCTCAGAGCTCTAATCCGTATCCGAACCTCAGCCCTGGAGCAAGCAGATGCGATGGGAGTGAGGGGTGCCAGCTCCTCACACCAGGGACTGTGAGTGGGAGCTCTTCTGAGGGAAAGTCTCTTTAGAGGTTTGCAGCGATGTGATGGTTCGCTTGCTGCGGCTGAAAATTCTCCGCCTCACCTTGTCTCTGAAGTCCTCAGAGACATAATAGTAGACGAAGGGGTCAACACAGCTGTTGAAGCTGCTGAGGGCCAGGCTCACCATGTAGCTGACGTACAAGTCCCCATAGAGCTTGAAGCAGTTGCTGGAATAGTGGACGAGGAGCAGGATGTTGCTGGGTGTGTAGAACACCACGACTGTGAGTAGCACGAGGACAGTGAGCTTCATGGCATATGCGTACCTCTCTCCACTGCCCAGCAGAATCCACAGCACCGAGCAGTGGCTAAACAGCATCACCACGAAGGGGACAAGGAAGCCGCAGACGACCAAGCACACGAAGTAGTAGTAGTAGTACTCAGCCTCCTCCTGCCTGGGGAGAACATCATGACACAGCGTGATGTTTGCCTTATCCAGGGGGTAGGACTGCTGCAAGAGGGTCAAGGGCACGGTGAAGATGGCAGTGATGAGCCAGACACTGAGGCAGGTGCAGGCGGCAAAGCCTGGGCTGCGGAAGGAGCGTGAGAAGAAAGGGTGCACTGCAGCCAGGTACCGGTCAACACTGATGCACATGAGCAGTAGCACGGAACAGTACATGTTCCCATAGAAGAAGGCAGTGGTGAGCCGGCACAGGCCCTCCCCAAAGGGCCAATGGTTCCCCAGGAAGTAATAGGAGATCTTAAAAGGTAGCACCAGCACCAGGAGCAGGTCAGCTGCAGCCAGGTTCATCAGGAAGATGGTAGAGGTCAGCTTCTCGATCCGAGTTGCTAGAACCCAAAGGGCTAGCCCATTGGCTGGCAGCCCCACCAGGAAGACAGCAGTGTAGAGGCAGGGGATAAGCCACACTGTGACTGCACTGCTCAGCTGAGAGCGGGAGTCCTCATGGATGGACAGGTAGGTGACATTGCCACGAGTCACCGTCTCTCCTGGGATGGCCCGGGGACACAGTGTGTTTGCCGATGTAATCACTTGCTCGTTGGTGCTGTTCTGGGAGTAATCTAGTGGTGCAAACATAGTCTGTTACTGTTCATGCAAGTCCCAGCATGCTTGCAGTTTGCAGGCAGGGCTGGTGACAAGGTTCCTGCCCCAATGCCCCCAGGGGTTTGCATTCTAACAAGACAGTGTGCCCACCACAGGGTGCAGGGGCTGGGAAGTAGCATGGATATTATTCATTGCAAATACTCCATTGGCTGGGTCTGTAATTAGCTAGAACCCCTTAGTCAAACAAAACAAACCCCAACTAGCAAGTCTCCCTATTTCAGGGCTGAACATGACGGTCTAAAGCTGAGAGGAGGTTCTGCTGAAGTTTGCCCAGCTACTTCACAGCAGGACAACCATGCTAATGCTAAGGTGAGCTCCGGGGTTGTGGGGAGGGAGTTTAGTAAAATGAGTTCCAATCAGAAGAATTTAAGGTCTCTGGCTGTCATGTGACCTACCATAAGCAGAAAATGTAATTGGTGCACAAACTAACTAAACAGCAGAAGCAAAAGTGCAAAGGACAACCTCAAAAAGCAGATAAATGTATCTCATTCTGAGAAAGTTCTAGTTCCTTCCAGCAGCTCCTGTTCCTTCTCTCTAGAGCCCAGTTACTTTGATCAGCCATTGTCACAAGTCCAAGGACCCACACAATTCCTTGGAGTCATGCTGTTTCTCACAGCTCATGATACTTCTGCACTGCCGCTCGTGTGTAGCTATTGGTTACCTGGGGACTGAGCACCACAGAGCACTGGGATCTGCCACTCAGGGGATACAGGTGGCACAGATTGAGTCAGCCAGAAGTAACTCCATGGATGGCAAATTCCAGCAGTCCATATCAGGCTCTTTGGCAAAGGCAGAGATTTCTCTCCCAGTTGTTGATCTTTGATTTGTGCTTAGAATCCTGACCTCACCTCTGTGAAATCAAATCAGTTCCTAGTGGCAGGTGATGGTACTCTGTGCCACTGAACAGCTTTGGCTGGGGTCCAATACTAGGTTGTGAGCTCCTTACACCAAGGTTAATGTCCATACAGCGTGTGGCCTCTACAGAGCTATTCCTGAACCTATAGCATGAGCAGTACTGCTCCACATTAAACAGGGGGGGGGGGTCAGAACAAGAACAAGGGGCAGGAGCTGCTCCTCAGACAAGGCTCAAGCTCCACAACTGCCTTTTGGGTTTCTCCAGTTTCTCTTTTGTTCCCCCTCTGACTATAATTCCTCCCCACTTTTCCCTCCCTCAACAAACACCTTCAGTGTCTTCTCCTTCATTAGATTAGCACGTTTGCCCATCACTGCTGTTTTTGTCCTTTGCCTTCACAGAAAGTGCTTGCTTGGGAGCCACAGAAAGATGCCAGGGAGCAAAGGGAGTCCCCTTAATGAGCAGTAAGATTTTCACCCCGAGATGCCCACTCACTCACCATCATAGTCCAGACTTGCCAAACAGAGTCCCCAGAGGCTACACCACAGTACAAGCCTGTATGATAGAAATTCACACCAGGAGATCTCCATGCTGTGAAGGGAGCCTGTGAGGTGCTGCTCTGTTCAGAGCTGCCCGGGGAAGGCAGTATTAATAGCCCTGACTATTAATTTCCTGTTCCCGGCCCTTAACTCACGGAAACACTAGGCTGGGACTCCACTAACTTTTCCTGCAGAAAAAAGAACAAAGGATATTGAGAGCTGCCAAAACACTCCATCTGGGTCAGGCCATGTGACGGTTCTTGGATTCCCAAGACTGAGAGTCACCTTGTTACCCCCTGCCACCAGCTTGTGCTTAGCTGGGTGTCAGTTCCTTAACACCACTTGTCTCTTAGTCACTCAAGCACACACTCCCCTGGGCTATGCCAGCCCTTACTTTGCCTTGCAGGTTAACAATAGGTCTACCTTTTGTCTAGCCCCTCATCCACTGAACACTACAGAGATACCACTTCTGCTGTTTCTAAAGGAACAGTACACACCAACTTGTAAAACTCAGCTCTGTACCAGCACTTTGGTTAACATTGCAGCATGGAGCTATATTTACTGTGAAAACAAGAATGTTTATTATCAAAGTCTAGAGATTCAGGCTATAGAGACTAAGGATATTGGAAACAAATGGTTACATTTAAAATAAAATCATAACACTTTCTAGAGACTAAACCTAAAAAACAGGTTAACCTCTTGTCTAAAGAAGTTTTCTCTCACCCAAAGTTTTCTTCTAGGTTGGCTGAGATCCCATTTCCATTAATGTAAACGTGCCGTGTTTACCTCCTACCCACAGGATGAGAGGAGGGCCTCTTCTTTGCCTTCTACATATCCCCTCTCTCCCCCCCAAAGTTCATTGTCTTTGAACACAGACAGGATAACTATACTTGGCTTGTTTTTTCTTGTGTGCTGCCTCCTGGTTGACGTCACATCTCTGTTGATTTGATACATAAATAGGCATTCATTGGGTTAGTTTACAATGCTTAACTTACATCCTGACAAAGAGACAGATGCATAAACATCTCTTGTGTGACAGAAATAGGTTTTATACTTCGGCTGGTGACTGATACCTTGATGCATATTTTCAGTATATATACATAACTTCTTACATTGTATGTGTACATATATTTTACAATGAAATTAATAACCAATGTGATCCTCCCCTTTTCATTTGAGACCTCACATGACATTCTTTGGTAAACTAGAATGTACAACCAGCCTCATGAGATTCCTGTAAGTGCCTTGCCAGATGCCATTAAGGGGTTCTTGGGTCACAGCCCATGTCTATGTCCAATGGTTTGTCTCATTGTGCTGTGCGGTGTGAGCATAGAGTCATTTCTGATGTCAGCAAAAGGCTACTGACAGACTCATGGCTCTTGATACTGCAGGGCTGTCTTTCACTGTCAAAGCTAAATCCTGGTTCAAATTACTCTAATTTGGGCCTGCTCCAGAATATTCCTGGAAGTGACAAGTATGGCCACCTCCGAGTCAGTTCAGAATATAAACCCCTACAAACCGGATCAGATATCGCAACAGCCCCTGGCAGCTGCCTGCACCTCCCATCTTTTCTCCCAGGCCTGAAGAAAGAAGTTTACATTCATGGCACACTAGCCCCCGGGCCTCGTCTCCTCTGGATTCATGACATTTCCTGGTGGCTCAGTGTCATCCAGCACACATAGGGCCCTGCTTCAGCTGCAGGTAACATGCTGCTCGTGTGTAGCATGAGGGCTGCAGATTGTCCCAAGAGGCAGGGCCTTGCCCTGCTCACAAACCAGCCCAGGCTGAGTGGCCACCTGGAGTTTTATTGAGGCTGCAGCCTCATTTCAGGGGAGTTGATAGTTTTCAGCATGTTCTACGTGAGACCAGCTCCCAGGCTGGTTAGCTGGCCCTGCTGTTTGTCAGGTCTGTACCTGCTCCGGGTTAAAGAAGGGATAGAATCATAGACTATCAGGGTTGAAAGGGACCTCAGGAGGTCATCTAGTCCAACCCCCTGCTCAAAGGGGAACCAATCACCAGACAGATTTTTGCACCAGATCCCTAAATGGCTCCCTCAAGGATTGAACTCACAACCCTGGGTTTAGCAGGCCAATGCTCAAGCCACTGAGTTCTCTCTCCCCCAAAGAGCAGAAGCCACCCTCTCCATCCACCACACAGAGTGGCCAGCATAGGGCTTGAACCCATGACCTTGGTGTTATTAGCACCACGCTCTAACCAGCTGAGCTAGCCAGCCATTGGTCTCCCTGGCTCCTTTCCTGAGTTTACTGAAGCAAGTTACTGAAAAACTGTGTGTGAACCCAATGAGCTATTTTCATTTGAGTACGTCAGCTCTAGCCCGAAGTGCTGTAAAATATAAACAGCCGCAGCATGATCTCAGAGTTTGATGGAGGCGTCATGCTTCTGCTGATAATTGTCGGGAATGCTGAGCACAGCCCCACCAAAGAGGAAATGGTGTCTGTCTGACAAGGATTCACAGGATGGCTCTGTAGCTGGGGAGATAAAGCTGAATGTCAGTGACTCTCCCCTAGGAAGGAACTGTGCTTCCAGAGCCCCGTTACTCAATAAACCTGCAGGGAGGCCTAAGAGCTCTTCCCTGCTAATGAATGGTCTGGAGGAACAAAAGGCTATTACTATCTATATGATAAAAATACTATGAGGGTGACCCATTTTACAACCATTTACAGTAGCATAAGGGCCCTTTGGGGATCTGCCAGAGCACGTGACCCTGTCATTTCCCACCAGATATTCCCCAAGCCCTGACCTTCCTCTGCTACTTAAGCCTTGAGCGCTTTCACTGTTCAATACTTTAAGCCCCCTCTGTGCTCTGCCAAGTCCTTACCCCACATCTATGGGGGAGTCCCCAACCCATCCCACATCTTTCAGATAAATGCAGATCATGTCCTGATTGCTGCAAAACAAATGGCAAAATCCCCGCCTGGACTGCTTTACCCTCCCGTGAGATGGACGACAGTGAAGCAGGAGGACAGCCCAACATTAGGTGACACTGTCTTAGGAGCAGCAGTGATGGTTGGAGGCTCTTGCCCCACCACAACGCTCTTGCTTGCCTGTCTCAGCAAGGACCTAAGCACAGGAGCCACAGTCCTGGCAGTAGGAACTGTGAATTTGGTTTGGCAATATGACTGATGGCTCATTTCTTTCTGGTTCTCTTATGAATGGCCTCTTCTGTGAAGGTTGCAAATCCGAGCCTGGCTGCTGTTTGATGAGATTCCTCTATTTCAAGGAGAAAATTATCCTATTTCCTTTGCTTTTGCCATATTCCCACATCCTTGGGCCGAGCGTGTCCAGAGGTGGCGTTCCACTGGGCAGGGAAGATGCAATGTTAGATGTTTTGCTTTTGCGATTCTCCCAGGATTTATGAACCATTACAGAATGACTCATGTGACCACATATTTTCCATGCCTCAACCAGGATCCTTTTCACGCTCTGTATGCAAAAAATTAGACATAATCAGTTTGGATAGTGTGCAACTCACAGCCCTGCTTTCTATGGCCAGGTCTCTGGGGTGGAGAGGGAGAGGTTACTTATTGCTGTATCCTTTACTTTGCAGATGCTGTGGGATTGTTACTGATTGTTTAGATGCAGACCAGATTGTTTGAACATTTTAGTGACAGAGGTTTCCAAGAGATGCTAATAAGCAGTGACAGTCGTGTGATCCCTGCTTGTGGGGGGACAAAGCTGATTTTAAGGCAATTCATTGTGCAATTGATTATCTCCAGGTACAAAGAATACTCTTGCCCCAGAGATCCCAGCCTGTGGGGATACATGGGGAGAGCAGGCCAGGGATTGTAGAGCTATTGAAGAAAATTACGAAGGAGCTACCCCAGACTCAGATTTTCAAGGGTGTGGCAGATCTAATGCAGGAAAGAGAAGCCAAAAGGTTATTTCTCATCCCAAGACGCCCATTTCATGTCTCTAGGGAATGTCAGTTTGAACCATTACATATCAAGGTAGAAACCTCAGTTCAGCTGGGCACCTGCCCTAACCTAAGATGATGGTTGTAGTCTAGATACCAGGGGCAGCTCCATGGCTTTGCAGACAAACGTGTGGATTATTTCCACTAGCATCAGCATAACCTCACATTTTCCATGAATGCGGCTCTGGCCCTGCCTTCCCCAGCCACTGAATGTCAGTCACATCCAACTTGGAACCACAAGGCACAGGAAGCCACTGCTGACCATTATAAATAGAAATTATGGATCTTTTAACCATAAGCCTCCCATGGTGCCTCAACCAAGCTAGAGAGATGACTTGCAGCCTCTTACTGACACCCCCCTCTGACCATCTGACCAGCCCCTGCTGTGGCATTGGTCACCAGCTACAGCTACCTTCACCCCTCCTTTAACCTGCCTCCCGCAGTCCCCTGTCATTTCACACATCAGATTCCAGCTTTTCTTTCTCACCTTCAGGGCCCTCCACGACCTTCCTGCCTCCTCTCATCCCCTTCTGTTACCCCAGTTACTCATCGGGATCTCACTCCATACTCTTTCCTTATAAGCCCCCATGCTTTTCATGGTCCTTCCTCCCCACACCACCGGCAAGACTGAAACTCTCTACCCCTTTTCTATCCCCCATGGCACATCTCTAAGTCCCTGCTCCAATTTCCCTTTTGCAAGGAGCCTTATGGAGAAGGTGGTCTTGAGCATGTAAAACGTTCTCTGTGTACTACTTTGTATCAGCCTCCTTGACTGCTTAGGCCAGTGATTTACAACCTGTGATCCGTGGAACCCCAGCAGTCCGCAGACTATGTCTGAGATTTCCAAAGGGGTCTGCACTTCCATTCTAAGTCGTTAGGGCATCTGCAAATGAAAAAAGGTTGCAAACCCCTGGCTTAGGCTGTGACTTTGTGGTCTTTCCCCAGACACCCTCCCCCATCCCACACCCAATCCCCAACCTGCAGCTGCCTATTGATTGTAAGTGCCTTGGGACTAGGATTCAGTCATTCTCTGCAGGGTAAAGTGCCCTGCACAGCTCTAGCGCAGAGTAACTAATAACTGATCCTAAAGCTTGCATCACCCTAGAGCCACGGTCCCTGTTCTGACCCAAACCCGCCAGCCAGCCATTTGTCTTCACTCTGGTTTGCTGGATTTTTTCCCTAGTATTCAATAGCTTCCAAGGCCAGAAGGGATTTTTGTGATCTAGTCTGAGCACCTGTATAACACAGGCCATAGATCCCCAAAATAATTCCTAGAGCCAATTGTTCAGAAAAACATCCAATCTTGATTTTTTTAACAATGTCAGTGCTGTAAAATCCATCACAACCCTTGGCAAGTTGTTCTAGTAGTTAATTACGCACCATTTAAAAATGTATGCATTATTTCCAGTCTGAATTTGTCTAGTTTCCACTTCCAGCCCTTAGATCATGTTATGCCTTTCTCTGCTAGATTGAAGAGCCAATTATGAAATTATTGTTCCCCCGGTAGGTACTTATAGACTGTAATCATCTCACCCCTTCATCTCTTTGAAGCTAAACAGATTAAAGAACATGCCTTATAAAGATGCTCAATCATTCTCATGGCTCATCTCTGAACCCTCTCCACTGAATCAACATCCTTGAATTGGGGGCACCAGAATGGGACACAATATTCCGGCAGCAGTTGCAGCACCAAATACCAAAGCAAAATAACTTCTCTTCTCCTACTTGAGACTCCCGTCTACTCATCCAATGGTTGCAATAGCCCTTTACAGTGTTGCTGTAAACTCATGTTCAGCTGATTATCTACCATGACCACCAAATCTTTTTCAGTCTCTGATTCCCAGGTAGAGTCCAGGCTCCTATAAGTAAGAACGAGAGGCCATAGAATGACACTCCCAACATAACCCTCCCCAGGAAGCAGCTCCAGGATGCAGGCCGCTGCTGGGTTCTTGCTGTTCAATTGGCATTTCCTTTATAGAATTTGCTTCTTGTAGCTGTTGATATGGCAACAGGATTAGACATGTAAACTGACCATTCGTGATCTCACTCAGTTTGAACCAAGGACCCCATCCAGGTCCCAGGCAGGGCGGGTGCCCAGATGGATGTATTTAAAGGAGGTGGGAAGAGGAACATGGTAAATATAGAGGCCACAGACCTGCAATAATTTGTGTGACCCTCACCTATGAAAACTGCAGCAACCTCAGTATTCACTGCTCCTTGATTGAGCACATCTTATTATGTTTCCCAAAGAGCTAACACTCAAGAAGCCAAGGCACAGTAAGTGTAACACCCAGTAGGCTCTGGCTTTTAGTGGAGCTCTTTGGGGGCAGAGACTGCCATTTACCACCTTTTTGGAGCATACAGGACCTTGGCCTCTACCCACTTCCCTAATATAAATGTTTAGAAAGAGTAAAGCCCTTGTTCGTTGCTAGTGTCCTTTACCTTGGATGGGAGCTCACAGACTTTGGGCTTGTCTACGTGGGGGAATAATTCCTGGTTGGACTCTGTTCTAAAATAAAAGTGATTTTATTGTAGAATGATTACTCTGGTTGCAAAGCAGAGTAATTGTCCCAGTGCTGTGTCCTGCTAAAGGAGGCGAGTTATTCCAGAACCGTCCTGCAGGTCAATTTCCTGTCTGTAGAGACAAGGCCTTTGGGATGGGGCATTCCCTCCCTGACACAGACACTTCCAGATGAGCTGGGTTTCTTGGCAGCACTAACTGTGCAAAGCAGCTGCTATTTGGGGTTCGATCAAGCTCTAGAATTCACATAGGTTGTGATTTCAGACCAAGCTGTAACTTACATGATAAGGGCAAGGTGGAATGGCTGCCTGATTTGATTAAGACAAAGTCACCTAGCATTGCACTGGAGTTAGCTACTGTGTGTGAAGGAATAATCCCATTTTACTGTCCGGGGGAGGAGGAGTTCCTAGGTCATTCCTGCGTGCTCACAGGCTCATGCTCTCTGCTAGGAGTTTGCAGCATATAGTACAGGAACATGTAAAATAAAAAGCAAAGTATTAAACAGAGTCCAGCTACTCCCTTTAGTGTTTCCCATTTGTTTGAATTAGAAAATAATTCATGCCTATTTCATCCAACTATCAAGAAAAATGTTTTTAAACAAATTTTGTTCTTTGCCATTAAAGTTGCTCACTTGATGAGATTTCTGTCTGAGCTCAGACTGCACTGGATGATGTCAGGATCTGGCTGTCCCTTCAGAGCGCCTATTCCCTCCCTTGTAGCCTGGGGGACATTTTCTTTGTAAGATGGCCAAGATTTCTGAGAGGAGGCCTTTGTATAAAGTGTATTGTGTCCTCACAGGCACCAACCCTGTATTTTTTTTTGTCAAATTATCCCATGCAGTTTATGCATCAGAGGATTATCTATAGGAGAAACAGAAAAACAGCTTGTTTCCTTGTGAGCAAATCATACACTGAACAAAAAAGGACAGTTCCATTTTGTTATGGCAACTGAAGTATTAAGAATGATGTAAAGGAAACTCCTTTCAGATCTGGGTCACATCACTGCAGCTTCCTTTGCAAAAATATACATTAATTCTTTTGTTAGCTAGAGCTCACTGGGAAGATAGTTACCTCTGTTATTATGCAGGAATTTGGGAAGGCCAGAGGTGACAGACTATTTTCATGATTGCAGTTTATTGCAATAAATTTAAGCACATGTTCCAAAGACTTGTGAACTGAAGTAACTTTATTGAATCCCTCTTTTATTTAGCTTCAGAGGTTAATTTAGCATGTAAGCGCTTAGGGAGCCAGGATCGGATCATGTTTGTGCAGCACCTAGCACCATGTGGGTGCTGCTGGAAACAAACAGAAGTTTGTGCAGTGAGTTCTGCAGAGCTTTTTTTTTTTTAAAGTCACTTTCCTTTAAAAAGCTGCCTTTTCATAGAGCGATTGTGCCACCTCATGGGCTCTTTGCTTTCTCCATCTCAGGCCATCTTTGCTTAGCTCTAACAGAGCCTTGGCAGCCTACACTAGAAAACAAAATGGCTAGCAGGCAGGTTCCAGGAAGGCTAACCACATCCCATTTTACAGAGCAGGAGCTGCAGAAGAGTATGATTAAAGCTCCCAGATACTGGACTAGAGAGATGGGCTCCAAGCAGACTGGACCTGGACTGAAAAATACTTTAATTGCATTTAGCACTTAAACAAAACACAGTATATAATGTCTTTTTTAGGGTCTGAGAGATACTAGAGGATCCTGCTTGTAGCAGCGCTGCAACCAAGTACTTGCAGCATTTTAGTCTAGTAGGCAAGTGCTCAGAGGAGGAAATAATAGAGAATATAACTATTATAATACACAGCAAAAGGGGAGACAATTTTAGTCTGTTCTTTCAATACCAGATCTGTGGTAATGGCCACGTCTGACCAGGAAGAATGATCCAGTCATAATATACCACCCCAGGATTCAGTAGACCTAGGTTCAATTCTCTGCTCTGCCACAGATTCCCTGGGTGGCACTGGTCAAGTCACTAATCTATGAGCTTCAGTTTCTGTCTGTAAAATGAAGCCAATACTACTTCTCTACCTTGTGATGGTGTCCTGAGGATAAAAAACATTATGAATGTGATGCGCAAGGTATTACAGATAGCCAGACGGGCTGAAGGACACTTGTTTTTGTGATTCACAGCCTCAGTCTTTAAGGCCAGAAGGGACCATCATGATCTAGTCCAGGGGTCAGCAACCTTTCAGAAGTGGTGTACCGAGTCTTCATTTATTCACTCTAATTTAAGGTTTCGCGTGCCAGTAATACATTTTAATGTTTTTAGAAGGTCTCTTTCTATAAGTCTATAATATATAACTAAACTAGTGTTTTTAAAATGTTTAAGAAGCTCCATGTAAAATTAATTTAAAATGCAGAGCCCCCTGGACTGGTGGTCAAGACCCAGGCAGTATGAGTGCCACTGAAAATCAGCTCGCGTGCCGCCTTCGGCACACGTGCCATAGGTTACCTACCCCTGATCTAGTCAGATCTGCTGCCACAGAACCTCACCAACCTACTCCTGTAATAGTAACCTCTGGCTGAGTTACTGAAGTCCTCAAATCTTAATTTAAAGACTTCAAGTTACAGAGAAGCCACCATTCACTCTAGTTCAAACCCCTAAATGACCTGTGCCCCACGCTGTAGAGGACGATAACTTCCCACCCAGGGTCTCTGCCCCTCTAATCTGGGGAAAAATTCCTTCCCCACCCTGGATATGGTGATCAGCTAGATCCTGAGACCCACCAGCCAGACACCTGGGAAAGAATTCTCTGGAGGAGGTGGGAGGGCTCTGAGTTACTACCGTGTCCCATCTCCTGCCATTGGGGATATTTGCTAATTGCAGTCACAGATGGGCCACTGCCATTGTAGGCAACCTTATAATACCACCTTCTCCATAAATGTATCAAGTTCAGTCTTGAAACAAGTTAGGTTTTTTGCCCCCATTACTCCCTTTAGAAGGCTGTTCCAGAACTTGACTCCTTAGAAACTTTTGTCTAATGTAAAGCCTAAATTTGTTGGTCATTTATATCCGTTTGTTCTTGTCCCAATATTGGCCCTTAACTGAAATAACTCTCCCCCCCCCCCGGTGTTTATCCCACTGATGTATTTATAGAGAGCAATTATATCTCCCCTCAGCCTTTGTTTTGTTAGGCTAAACAAGGTAGCTCCTGAAGTCTCCTCTCATAAGGCAGGTTCTTCATTCCTCTGAACATCCTAGTAGCCCTTCTCTGCACCTGTCTCCAGTTTGAATTGATCTTTCTTAAATATGGGAGATCAGAATTGGACAGTATTGCAGATGAGGGGTCTCGTATCATCTTATATGATGGTAATAACACTTCTATATCTCTACTGGAAATACCTTGCCTGCTGCATCCTAGGATTGCATTAGCCTTTTTTACAGTGATGTTTCATTCATGCAGACAATGGCTCAGATTTTCAAGCTTGGGTGATTTAAAGTTAGGCACCTAAATCATCTCTTACACTTAAAGAAGTGGCCTGATTTTTAGATGGGTCAAATGCCCCCAGCTCTCTGTGAAGGGCACATTTTGGCCAGAGTATTTAAAGCCAAATAAATGTTTCCACTTTTCACTGGCACTTGAAAATGAAACCCAGAAACCACGGCACCATCACTTTTGGCGACAGGGCCGGCTCCAGAGTTTTGGCTGTCCCAAGCAGCCAAAAAAAAAAAAAAAAGTCGCGATTGCGATTTGCGGCGGCAATTCGGCGGAAGGTCCTTCGCTCCAAGCGGGAGTGAGGGACCGTCCACCGAATTGCCGCCAAATAGCTGGAGGTGCCGCCCCACTCCTGAGCAGCCGCCCCAAGCACCTGCTTGCCAAGCTGGTGCCGGCCCTGTTTGGGGTAGACCAAGGAAAGTCAAATACTCAAGGCACCAGCCCCTACATACAACTGCTAGTCAGATCCAGAAAAGCAGTGTTTTTATAGATGAGATAAGAAGAACGGTTGGCACTGGTAATGGAGTAGCAGCAAGAACCTCTAGTCTAGTCACTCAAAACCAGCCCAAGATGCTAATGGCCACAAGTTGTTTCCTTTTTGAGGACAGCCTATTGGCCAGTATTAAGTGAATTGGAAGTCTCGGTGCAGGCGACAACAAACAGATATCCAGATCACAAGGTGGCACTGGCTGTCCTGCACCTGCCTTTACAGACATCTGTATAGCCTGTTATCAGGCTGTTCTATAGTTAGAAATGAGTCTTCAGTCTCCAGGGCTGTCACCAGCTCTAAATTCACTTAAAACAGAGAACTCAGTGAGAGCTGCTGACTTTTAAAATCAATATTTTATTTTACTTGAATGTGCAAATAAATATTAAAAAAACTACATTCAAAGAGCTGGCAAAGCAATTACAAGCCCCAAAGCAAAGATCCTTCAAAAAAATGGAAGAACAAACTTTCTTTAATCAATTTCATGCTAGAAGATAGACAGCGTTCAAATGCTGAAATCTCAAATGTTAGCAGGCCGCTCTCAAACACATTGGCACCACCCACTTGTTTCATTCACATCATTTGCTACTATCACATTTGAGACAATAGTGCTGTAAAGGATGAAATTCTCACTTAATCCATTCAGATTATAAATTAAGGTTTACAAAATAAGGATGCTTAAAAATACCTGAAGTACACTTAAAAATGTTGGGGAGACTGACCAGGGTCCATGCGTGTATTAGCCTTACGCACCCTGGGAGACTTAGAATCAATTGCATTTTAAGCCACAAGTTGCAAGCTACTTTCTAGTAAACATTTGTCTGTATCACAAAACCATAACAAAATTTGGCACAGTTGGTCATCTCTGCTTGGGACAGCAGAGTGTTGAACAGGACTGAGGTGCATTTGTAGAGCTGTGTAGAGGAAAAGAGGATGTTGCACTAGTCAGATCTATCCTAACCTCTTACAGAGCTCCATCCCTTACCTAAACTTACCTAAAACAAGTCAAGGGCTTTGAAAAAAACCTTCATATCATTTCTGCCACTGGCATCAGTTGAGCCCTGGACAATGAGAATCTGGGTTCATGGTACAAAGCGCACTGCTGGCAATGGATGTGCATGTGGCCACAAATGCCAAACGGTCACAGATTATCTTGCAAAAAAGAAACAACTGGTACAGTTTTAGGTCAAATGTGCACAAATGGCCCATTTCTTCTGCTGTCAAGTGAGACAACTGCAAAACCAAATGCAGTACAGTGGGATAAACACAGCACGACTCCCATAGGCTGCTACTTGGGTCCAGCAGAAATTATAACCATAAAAACCAAACCACAGAAACAAACACATTAGGGGGTCCAATTCCCCCACAAAGGCCAGGAGACCTTGGAGTCAGGGCTGAAAAGAACCTAGATTTGCCTCATGACACCACGTATTTTACACAGGATTGTGTGCTATTCCCAGGCTCCTGCAATACACAAGTGAAGTGAGGATGGGGCTGCAGGGCTGCCTTGACTCTGAACTTTCTGGTCCTTTTGTTAGGTTTAAGTCAGAAGACGAATGTAGAGTTCTGTGTGGTTTGGAGCATAGTGGGTGGGTGGTTTTTTTTTTTGGGGGGGGGGGCCAGAGTTCAGGAGGAGGTGCAGAAAGTGTCAATGGAATAGCTTGTCTACACTGCTTAAGCCTGGACAGAATCCTCCTCTGAATACACATTTCTGTGCGTCACTGCAAAAGAGAGCATCTGTACAGACATCAGCAAAAGAGCAGCATCTAGGAAACCCTCCAAGCCAATGCAAACATGCTTTAAGAGCTCCATCTACTGATCCACTTTGTAAGTGTTATTATCCCAGCAGTACTAAGATGTGACTGCAACATACAGTCTCCAGAGGCTGTCAATCAGCATGCAAAACACAAACAAAAAACCCAGACCTCCTCATGGATTTTATTCCAGCTTCAAGCAGTTCCTGAAATGAGAAGGCAGGATATTGCAGCATGACACAGTTTTATAAAGATTGACAGGGGATCCAATACAGAATTCTCTGCAGAGGCAGAGAATGTGCCTGGGCTCACTTGCTCAGCAACGCAGCCCATGGAGCCATTTCTGATTAGCGCCTGTTCTGAAACCCTTAGCCAATCTAGCTGTTTTAAAAGTCGAGGGTCTCATTTCCCTCGATGTCTCGAGATTTGGCATTTCCTCACCACAGCAGCAGTAATGCACGCGGCATTCATAGCCTCATTCGTGTGAACTGATAACGCAATTGAGTACCCGCACCCATGGCAAAGCCAGTGATCTGTGCCGAGTGCTCCGGGCCCACTGGCCCTGAGGGGTTCTGTTAAGAAGTTCTGCAGACTGAGGCATGGCATGAAATGCAGAGGGACATGAAACATTAAACACTTCAAAAAGAGGAAGCAGCTGCCAGTGTCCGCTCTAGCCCCCATCATGCTCTACACTGGCTAGAGCAGGCAGCCCCCTCAGCCACCCTGCCAGCAGCCAGGCCAGCGTGGCCTGTCCCTCCAACGCAGCAGCCATTGGCAGCCCTTCTGGAGCTGAGCACTTGGCACCCCCCAAGTAGCCAGCCCACCTTGCTCGGCCTTTCCCACGCCGGCTGACTTGTGGTAGGCTGACGCTAGAAAGCTACTGTACAGAGTGGCAATGCTAAGAGCCCTCTTCCAGGAATGGCTTTAGCTCTCTTCACGATGACATAGCCTGGAGGATTACACTGCGAGGAGACAGTTCTATGCCATATGGAAAATACATCATAACCCAAAGTAAAATGCTGTTTGGATAAATATCATTAATACATACATTGCATTCCCACCACTAGTCTCAGAGTAAAAGTGTTTTGCCGGCAAAGCTCCTGCTTGGCATGGTCACGGGGACGAGTCTCTGCTCATGGTGAGGCTGGATGGCGACTGTACTGGACTCTGTATCTATTCACGGGGACCCCATGGACATTCACCGTCTCACAAGTTGTTTTGCACGGGACCATGTCCTCGTCCTCATCGCCCATGAGCCAGTCTTGAACCAGTTCTGCTGCCTCCACTGTAACATTCTCTTCTAGCCACCTGCTGTGCCACTCTTCAAACTGCTGGTGGTGCTTGAGCAGAACCATGGGCTGCACCTGAGACAAGGACAGGAAAGGTCACTGAAAGGCTCATAGGGGAGAAGGTTAAATCTTCAGCTCTCCGGACACTTGAGACATTCATGCTTTAAAACAACCAGAGAAGCACATATCTCTTATACCTGCCTCTAGAGGCTTCTGCTTCTTAAATGGAACTATCCTCCTGTGCAGCTTGCAAGGTAAAGCTATGCCCAGTAAACTAAACTATACAGCATTTACGAATTCCTTTGCTATTTCAGCCAATGTGGAGATGTAACTCCAGGGAGCAGTCTGTAGGAATTCAGCCACGAGACTCCTGTCACTGCAGGTCTCGCAGTTCAAGTTCCCCATCTCTGCCAGTGCCTGAGCTGTTGAGAGAATAACAGGACATGCACCTGCTTGGCTCGGGAGAGAGTACCACGCCTGTACATGTAATCCTCAGAGTTCATGATGAACATCATTTTGTGGGTGTTGAGCCTGAACCTGCAGTCCATGTTGCATGCACTCTCCACCCCGATCAGCCTCTTCCAGGAACTCTTCACTTCACTCCGTAGAGCTCTCACTTGCTTGCATTGCCACTTGCGGAATTTTTTAAGGTTCCTAGGACAAAACCAAGTATTATACTTTAAAATCCCTGGCTATTCAGCTTCCACCCTCCTAGTCACTAAAGATCAGAGCATGAAATTCACATTCCTATGCCTGGCTCTTCCCAGGAACTTTGCTTCCAAACCATCCCCTTACCCCCAAGGTTGGCACACTTTTGTGATGAAGTGCAGAAGGGATTAGGCCTTAAATTCCCCCCCAAAGGAGGGACTGCTTAGAAGACAGTCCTACTCTCTTCTCCTTACTGTACACTCTGTAGTCTGTGAAAACCTGAGTGCTGCCCTCAATGCCCTTGTGCAGAGCGCCACACACTGGCTGCAAACCTGCACCCCAGAATGCCTGTATTTCTCTGGAACAGTGTGTACAGTATATTGGTTTTGAGTTGCTAAGGCTGGAAAGTGCAAGAGAAATAAAATTTTAAGGGACTCTTCCAGACAGGAATAGAACCAAAATAATCTCAACACACAGGGCAGCAGCAGAACCAGCTGTTGTGGGCAAGACACCAGGGAAAGGGGAGAGCTCACCTTTGCAGAAAGACCGGTTTCAGTAAGAAGCCATCGTTCTGGTTGTTTGGGACGCCCTCCACCCCAACGTACTGTTCCATGTAGTTAGCCAAGTGCTATACAAGAAAGACCGTTTCCAAGTCATATCTCCCCAGTCAGAATAAACTCAGTTGCCCTAATAGTGTATTTCTAGGCTGCTTTTAAAGCTGCCTGTACCTAACCCAACCACCCTGAGCCAATTTGCGTTTAAATCCACTTCTGTATCAGCAGCCTCTATATCAAGGACACACAGTCCTCCACATGCTCTACCCCAAGTACACTCAATGTCCTGGGAAAGCCTGTCCCCCAATTTGGAATGAAATGGAAGGGAACATTCCTGGCAGCCTCCTTTGTCACAGTGGCACAGAGGCGATTCCATAGTCCTTGCACCTTAATTACCTGAACCTCCATAGGGTCTTCTGTTTGGGTTTCTTCTGTGTCTAGTAGCTCGATGGTCATTATCACCTGCCCTTTCCTCTGAAGAAACATTACCTGTAATGAAGTGAGACACAGGGGACGTCACCTGCAGCCTCCAGAGCTGGGCAGGAGCCCAGATCAGTGTGCTGAATTTTCATGGAAATTCAGCTGAACATGACAGATTGGAGAAGAGGTGAATATACAACATGGCACCCTGATGCTTGACCACACACAAACCTAGGCTCAGTTCTTGCTACCACTTTCTCCATTCCTCTACACTGTGTCCTTGGGGATTTCAATACCACCTTTATGCAGATGTTCCTTCAACCTCTCAAGCTCTGCCCTCCCCCACTCACCCTGGGTGTTCCCTCCTTCTCTGCCTGCCCCATCACCCTTGGCACAGTAACTCCTCAAACTTAATACATCAAAACAAAGCTCCATCCTTCCTTCCAGTCCTCCTCCTGACCCTTCGCCCTCCAATACTGCTAACTGCTCCTCTATCCTCCTCACCACTCTGATGTTATATCAGGCTTCTCTGACACTTACTCATGCCTGTCCAAACTGTTGCCAAATGCTGCCTGTCCTTCCTCTACAAGACTTTCCTCTTAATTCAATCTTTATTATTAGAACCACGCTCCAAAGCTTTGGTTAACACCTGTGCTGGCTACTATAAGCACCATCTCTTCCCTCTGCCTCCCCACCAGTCCCCCTGGAACTAACCTCCTGGGCCCTCTGCAAAGATGCCTTAAGACTCCATCCTTCCACATTCAAATTCTTCCTTGAAATTCACTGTCCACAAAGCCTCCAAACTTTAACCCTAGCACTGAAACTCACCACGCCCTTTTGGACTTGCCTAGGTCTGAGCGCAGCCAGCATTCATGCTGTGCCGAGAGGGCAGAAGCCCTCTCCTTGCACGCTGCCCTATCAGGAAAGAGCTTTGTCTTTTTATTTGCCTCCAAAGTGCCACATGCCCCCATGGAACTATCTGAAAAGTAATATATTCACTCAATGGATTCCTGTGTATCTGAATAGGAGCAAACTCTCTGGCGGGCGCCTGGTCACAGCCTCCTTGGCTAGGAGCTACAAAGATAGGAAAACTCCCCAGCCATCTGATTCAAGAGATAAATTAAACTCCCCTGGCCCTAAGTAACAGGATTCGGCTCATCTCTTGGGAGATGGGCTATCAGGAGAGCATCAGACTGCTGCTGTCTGCACCACCCCAGTCTAGTTCCCCTCTGCTGCGGGTAATTCCCCTGAAGCAAGCTCTCACCTTGAAGCAGTTCTCATCTGCCATGCAGCGCTCAGCCTTCCACTGATAGCTGGTCTCCTTGGCTGCCCGGACACACCTGGAGGATAGGTTGCCTCCAGCAGCACCTCGCTTTCTTTCACTTAAGTAGAGCTCTACAACCTTCAGGCAGATATCATCACTCACAAGATGGTGAAGCTATTATCAAGAGAAAAGGGAGTCAGCAAGTTTCTAGCAAGAGTGTTACATACACTGGTGCAACCCACACTATTCCCTTACCTCTGTCCCCCTCTCCCATTTTGCAATGAATGTAACAGAGGGAGCAAGGGGCAGTCAAGGCAAAGCATTTGTTTAAACATCTAATTGCTAAAGTGGTAATGGAGAGCTTGATAATATAGTGAGTGTGAATCGTCTAATTCAACTCGTAATCAGAGCTTCCCAATGGCTCTGGTGGGGACAGTCAAGTGTCACCAGCAGAGAAATCAATGAGATGTGTAGTCGTAAGTTAACTGGCCATAGGAATTTCAGCTCACAAACTGCATTTTCTCCTGTTTTTACCAATAGTCGTTTCCTTTGACTATTTCCTCTGCCTTTTTTCCACCACCACCTAACAGTTGTATAAACACCTCAGGAGAAATCTTGGCTTCTTATGTTTTTAGGATACCTTGTAACCCTAATGGTACTATATAAAACAAAGAGGGAATACTGAAGCTTACAGAAGCTGCAAGTCCACAGGCCTAGATTTTCAAATGCCAATTCCTTTAAACTGTGATACTCAGGATTTTTAAGCTAGGGAGAGACACGGAGGGAAACGGAGAGCTGAATGCCTGTCTCACCAGGAGATACATTCCAAGTGTCACTCCAAGGTGAAGTTCCTCTTCACCTTTACCCTCACCTTTGCGAGCTCTCTCATACACACAGACAGACCTGTTTATCAATAGGACAAGGAGGGGCTGTCCACCAACTGCGCTGTGGAAGCACTAAGAGATGATTTGAGAGACAATTACCTGGCGGACAATATTCTGCACCAGCTTGTCCATGGTGAAGCCGATGTAGGCGTGGATAGTGAACATCTCCCTCAGAGTGTCCTCGTACTGCGTGGGGTCAATGTTCCCATCCAGCAAACTTCTCACCATATCCAAGAATGCTGGGTAGTATTCCTCCAACTCCACCTCACCTGGGCAGGAGAAAACAGCAGTCACTGCATACAGGAGGCAGAGGGTGGTCCCGAGACAGGGGACAGAAGAGATAACTGCTCTAGATCTAGGACATTTGGCACCAAGAATATTTTTAGACACAAGACACGACACTTCAAGTGCAGCACCAACCACATCTTTCCAGATGCCACTGACAGCACACGGAAGACCCCATGAGAACAGTGTGACTATCTGAAATGGTTACTGGGGCAGTGCTTGACTCAACTCACACGTGTATGTATTTTAAATGTAAGCAACAAACTCCAAGACACTTCATAACAGTATTTTCCCATGTTCTAGAAATACCTACATAGAAGACATAAGGTATATATCGAACAACAGCCAATGGGCTTGTAGAGGTCTAAATGAACAAAAATGTGTCCCTTGGCTTGTAAGTTATCCCCTAACTATCCTGGTTAATACATGCAGGTAACATTAGTTATGAATCCATAATTCTCAGACACTGGAGAGGTCTCAGTATCTATATTCCTCATAGTCATGCCAGCTGGTCTCAGTCACTGCAAGTGGCCTCTGCATAAGGCACTCAGAATGCTAACAGCAAAATAATTTCCAGACTGCAGAATGCTCTTACTTGGTTGTTTCAATCTCAGTTCCATGGCTGGATCATTGGACTTTTCTTTCCTTCCCTCACAGAGGAGTTTCTCCCTCTCCTTTTCAGTCCGATACTCTAGAAGCTGCTTCTGAGCCTGACGATAAATCTTTAAGAGCCTGGAGCAAAGAGTCTGGTGAAGGCGGAGGAAGAAATACCAATTATTATTGGCAAAGAACAGACTATAAACGTCGTCCAGAGTTTTGTGAGGCTCAGCAGCAGCGGCGTCACAGAAGCCAGCTTTCTCCTCCAGAGGGCTGCTTGGAGGCCCAGGCACATGTTTCTTTCGTAGCTCAGGAGCATCCAGGTTCTGTCCCTGATGGTTTTCTCTGTCCTCATCAGTCGACTCTTCAGAAATACTGTGGTCCGGGAGCGGAGAGAAAAACAGCTGCGGTACAAAGTGATGCACTATTTGCCGAATGGTGGCCTGATCTTCCTTCTGGATAGTGGGCTGTCGTTTCCCATAGTAGCTAATGAGCGAAGCCGCATCTTCTAGAATCTGTTTATCCTCATAGATGAAGATGAGGTGAGGCTCGTTCGTGGTGGCACCTCTCCCCTCTGAATGCTGCTCCTGGTGCTGTCATCAAGAGACAAATCAGTCAGACCCTTCCAATCCAGCCTCAAGAGCCATTCCCACCACAACACACACACACACACCCCAAGTGTTAATGGCTAGGCTGGGGGACAGAGGAGGAAAGGGGATATTTATGGGATTACATATGCTATTTCTCTTACATCTTTCTCTACAAGTTATATATATTTTCGAGCATTCTTCTCACCCACTCTTGTCATCTTAAATTATGAGCTCTTCAGGGTAGGTAGGGATGGTATCTTCCTCTATGTTTGTACAGCGCTTCCCACAACAGGGACCCAATTCTGATCTGAACTTCTGGGCATTACCGTAATACAGAACAATATAAACAGACAGGATCGATTGTTTGTTAACATATACACCTCATCGTAGACGCTCTCAATCTCATTCAGCAAGCTCTTGGAGCGCAGGGCTTTGGTGTCATTTTGTTTGAAGTTGACAGCCTGGTGGTCAAGGGACTTTAAGTACGCCTTCTCATACTGCTCCCGCCAGATCTTGTTGAAGCCCTGCTGGGCTTCCCGCCATTCCTCCTCTTTTGCTTTCAACCTGCATAATGCAGAACAGACAATTTGAAAACCATACCACAGAAATTCACACACAATGTTTTAAAAGCAGCCTGCTGAGACACAGCAAGACTTTCAGTATTCCCAGGGGAAAAGAAAAAAAAAACTTTGGTAAATAGTTATGGCTGGGAATATAAAATACTGTAGTTCAAAAAACCTCTTAAGTGCCAGAAGCTCAAGCAATCCACAGTAGAGATGCCTACGCCTGTAGCCTGATTTGGGGTGGGTTAGTAGGTAGGTCTCTTGCATGACAGCTAAACTTACTTTTAATATAAAATCTATAAATCTAATGCATCAAATACTCATTTTATAAGAAAGATATATTTATACAGACAAGCAGATTAATCCTTAGGGCTACACACCTTAACTCTGCCCTCCTTTTTCTGGAACAATTTTCTCGGGTCCTAGGAGATCTCCACCTAACTGTCTCTGTCTTAAATACAAGGATTCCATCTGACCAGGCAGATATGCTGGGAAGTGGGAATGGCTCAGAAGTGAGGGGCAGAGCTAAATTTTCCTCACAGGCACTAAAGAAGCTGTCACAGAGCAGGGTCCAGGAACAGTGGGTGTTGTGTGAAAATGCCATAGATGGCATTCAGAACAGGAGACTTGGCAGTTGGGGATGGGGGAAGTTAAAAGCTCACGCACCAGGGAGAGAACAGTTGGAGGGTGAGACGGATTTTCTTAGAATATCAGGGTTGGAAGGACCTCAGGAGGTCATCTAGTCCAACCCCTTGCTCAAAGCAGGACCAAACCCCAACTAAATCATCCCAGCCAGGGCTTTGTCAAGCCTGACCTTAAAAACCTCTAAGGAAGGAGATTCCATCGCCTCCCTAGGTAACCCATTCCAGTGCTTCACCACCCTCCCAGTGAAAAAGTTTTTCCTAATAGCCAACCTAAACCTTCCCCAACTTGAGACCGTTACTCCTTGTTCTGTCATCTGGTACCACTGAGAACAGTCTAGATCCATCCTCTTTGGAACCCCCTTTCAGGTAGTTGAAAGCAGCTATCAAGTCCCCCCTCATTCTTCTCTTCTGCAGACTAAACAATCCCAGTTCCCTCAGCCTTTCCTCATAAGTCATGTGCTCCAGCCCCCTAATCATTTTTGTTGCTCTCTGCTGGACTCTTTCCAATTTTTCCACATCCTTCTTGTAGTGTGGGGCCCAAAACTGGACACAGTACTCCCAATGAGGCCTCACCAATGCAGAATAGAGGGGAATGATCACGTCCCTCGATCTGCTGGCAATGCTTATACAGCCCAAAATGCCGTTAGCCTTCTTGGCAACAAGAGCACACTGTCGACTCATATCCAGCTTCTTGTCCACTGTTAACCCCTAGGTCCTTTTCTGCAGAACTGCTGCCTAGCCACTCGGTCCCTAGTCTGTAGCAGTGCATGGGATTCTTCCGTCCTAAGTGCAGGACTCTGCACTTGTCCTTGCTGAACCTCATCAGATTTCTTTTGGCCCAATCCTCTAATTTGTCTGGGTCCTCCCTCTGTATCCTATCCCTACCCTCCAGCGTATCTACCACTCCTCCCAGTTTAGTGTCATCTCCAACTTGCTGAGGGTGCAGCCCACACCCTCCTCCAGATCATTAATGAAGATATTGAACAAAACCGAGCCCAGGACCGACCCTTGGGGCACTCCGCTTGATACTGTATTGTCTCTCTTTTTAAAATACATGCTGAACAGCTTAATTTTAATTATAATTTTAAAGGGAAAAATCAACATGAGATGCCCACGCCTAGCAAGCAGAGGCTCTTTGGAGAAAAATGGCGATAAAAACCTGCTGTTAAAAATGTAAGTTGAGATTATATGGCACTAGTTATGTAACGGTCATTGGACCTGTAACAGTGCTGCACCATATGCAGAGATCACCTCTAACACCACCACACCCTTGGAATCAGCTGGTTCTCAGTGGAGATTAATCCATAAAGAGGTTTTTCAGTTATGACTGGACAAAAAAAATTAGAATTTTCAAAAAAGGCATACCCTCCTCACCCCCACTATTCCAAAGTCTCATTCAAAATGACACGTCCAATTAACCTCATATTTTCAAAAAATAAAATCCTCTCTTCCTCTAAATGGGACTAAAAGAAGTTTTAGTGCAGAAAGGAACTTTTCTCAGCAAGCCAGGGATGAGCATAACTATAACAAAGGAGCCCCTCTCATGGCTCCATTACAGAGCAATACAGTGTGCAAGTGTGAAGAATTCACAAGCTTGGGGTGGGGGTGAAACAGTTGATTGTCATGCACTAGAAACTGTATTATAGACTGAATTAAAAAAACATACATGTTAATACCAAAGGTAACTGAAACCTTTTACACGATTACTTAGCTTTTCAATTAAACTATAAGCATTTTTTATATAATGCTTCCTACAAAGAGAGGATTTGAAAAAAGTTTAATTTTAAAATGTATTTGTAGATGTCTACATTAATACTGAAAGCTATCTGAGGAGGAATCCTAGCTGAAACCAAACAATGGCAAAGCCCCACAGAACTAAAGGAATAGTTTGGTTTACTTATAAAATGAATGAAAAACCAATTTAACAATTTTCATGGCAGGAGAAGCAGCAATCTTGTTACAGTTATCCCCGTATTACACAATCATCACAAAGTTTGTGGTGGGCTATTTTCTACTGAAACATACATACTGTTACTGCAAGAGCAACAGTGCATTGTCATAATTCGCATTGTTTAAGCTGTTCTCCGATGGGGCTAAGAGAGTCAGCTAATATCTTTGTGACCTATTATATTGAAGTGATTTTGTAAAGATATTCCATTAATTGCTCACCTCTGTCCTGCGTTAGAATCCTACGAGATGAAAATAGGTAATTAACTTCTGAAACGACAAACTTTCAAAGACTACATTAGCTAATTAGATAAAAATGATAGGTGAACCCAAGAAAGAGTTACCTTTTTAAAACTACGGGAACAGCAGTAACCGGATTTTTCTTAAGACTCTCAATGATTTCTGGTGCTTTATCACCGTAGATACGGTAGATGGCTCTGCGCTGGATCACTTCCGACGTTCCTCCCAAGCAATCATCCAATCGGAATTTCTCCTGGTCCTCTTGAGACATCCGAGACAGCTTTTTCTGAACACTCTCCAACACGCGTATTGTGGCCAGATTGGTTTCCAAGACAACATCCAACTGTTAAAGTTCACAAACGATATAACAACGTAAGAAAGGATTCAGCAGCTGGTCTCTGCTCTCTTCTTCTATGCTCAAATCTGTACTTGCATTTCAGTGTCCACTGGCTAGGAGTCACGGGCTCCAGTGAGGATTCTCACTAGGTGGAGCGCTCCGACAGTACTTTCAATTGTAAAATTGGCCCACAGATTTCCTTAAGGGCTATTTTCTGCTGCATTTGCCCTTGGCAAAGCAGGGTGCTATGATGCAGTTGACATCATATCTGGTTTAGAGAGAGATTGTGCTTAGAAATAAAATCCTCTACACCGAAAGCAATATTTAAAGCTATAGCACATGCAAGAGTACCAGCAGGGGCATCTCCGAGCCCTGCATGAAAAGGAGAGTACCTAAAGCTCTTGAAACCTTTCCCTCCTGTGACATACACAGTGGCATTATGGTGTTCGTGCCTCCTCCCCACAGGCTAGAGAAGTACAAAGCAATCACCACTACTGGGGAGAAGTGTGAAAGGGTTAACTTCGGAGAAAAGCAGCCTTGGGAAAGCAAGCCCACACTAAAGCTAAAGTAGAAAGAAGGGGAGGGACTGACACAGCAAGAAGAATTAACTAATAAATTGAGCCCTGCTCAGATACAAAATTTGTATCCGCATCTGATCTGCAATCCACAAAAACGACCTGTGGATATCCACATCCGCAGATATCAACAGATTTGCAGGGCTTTAGATATAAAATTTGGATCTGTATCTATCCACAATCCACAAAAATGGTCCACGGATATAAAGCAGATATCCCCGGATTTTCAGGGCTCTACTAATAAAACGTTCAGCATTTGGCTATTAGGTCTCGGGAAGTCACGGTTTCTGTGACTTCCGAGACGTAAACATAGCCTTGACTATAAATAATTTCAAGGCTCTCGGTCACATGAACAGGAGACCAAGTTGCAAAGTTCTAAGTTGAACAGCAGAACCACCTCAAATCGTTCGTCCTCACAGCGATGCAGCTGCTCCTCATAGGGAGTCTTCTTTGAGCTGACAAATGTAGAGTCTTCAGACCAGGATGGAAACGAGACCCAGGTGTCATTTAACACCTACAACAGAGTCAAAGACAACAGTCTACAGTGTCCTATAAAAAAGGACCTGTTCCTGAGGACCTGGTAGGACCTCTACAAGGGAAAATATAAAGTAGTATATTAACAGTGTTTCTATCAGCAGGTAGCTAGCTAGGTATTTCTGCCAATGATCTGTGTCAGAATTTTAAAATGTCAGTGTTGACCATTTCTCAGACATTGTGTATGTGAACAGTTGCACCCAGACATTGTTCAAAAGATTTCTAAGGTGTCCTTTGCTGCTGTTTCATAAAAGAGGAAGAGATGTTTGTCTGTAATAGTCAGCTACTGGTGATAATGGAGACAAAAATGCCAGTGCCAAGGAGGGTGGGAGGGTTGCTCTATTAAACCCAACTCCCACTGTCTGCCAAGATGCTCTGACTCAGAATGCTCCTTTATAACAAAAGGCAGCAAGTGCTTTACAAACTGGTAAGCTAAACCTACAGGGTTCACTTCCCCTATCACTAGGGCCCTACCAAATTCACGGTCCATTTTGGTCGATTTCACAGTCATAGGATTTTTAAAATTGTAAATTTCATGATGTCAGCTATTTAAATCTGAAATTTCAATGTTGTAATTGTAAGGGTCCTGACTGAAAAAAGAAGGGTGTGTGTGTGTGTGGTGGTGCGGGCGGGGGGGGGGAGGGGGTTGCAAGGTTATTGTAGGGAGGGTTGTGGTACTGCTACCCTTAATTCTGCTGCCTTCAGAGCTGGGCAGTTGGAGAGCGGCAGCTGCTGGCCAGGATCCCAGCTCTGAAGGCAGAGCTGCCGCCAGCAGCAGCACAGAAGTAAGGGTGGCATGATATGGTATTGTCGCCTTACTTCTGCGCTGCTACTGGCAGGGTACTGTCTTCAGAGCTGGACACCCGGCTAACAGCCACCACTCTCTGGCCACCTAGCTCTGAAGACAGTGCAGAAGTAAGGGTGGCAATACCATGACCCCCTGCCTAAAATAACCTTGTGACCCCCCTGCAACTTCCTTTTGGGTCAGGACCCCCAATTTGAGAAAACGCTGCTCTACCCCGTGAAATCTGTATAGTATAAGGTAAAAGCACACAAAAGACCAGATTTCACGGTCTGTGACGCGTTTTTCATGGCTGTGAATTTGGTAGGGCCCTATCTATCACTGAACACAGCCAACTCTGAATGACCCCATACTAGAATTGTACCCTGCTTACACAGGATATTTTTTTTAGGCTTTGACTCAAAATTTGCTTTTTGGTGACTCACTGGTCTAACTAGGCTACAAAGTCTGTCTTCATACCTGGTGCTGAAAAACTCATTTTATGCTGTGAAATAAAACGTCTCTCCCCCATTCCCGCTGCCCCTTCTACCTATCATCAAAGACAAGGAGTGGGTCCACAAACAAGTTGTACCAGTTTAATGAAAGGTGTGATTTTATACTGATTTAGTTAAACCAGAGCAACTTTATGTGTGGCACTCTTATCACCAGATAAACCTGATTTATAGCAATTTAACTCAGATTAGCAAATTTACAGGTGCAACCTAAACGGACATAAGCAGTTTTAAACCAGTATAAGAGCCTACATACAAAAGTTGCACCAGTTTAAACAAAGTGATTTAAGTTAAATTGGTGCAATGTCCATGTTTCAGAGAAGCCCTAAATCATCATAAGAAAGCAGTATGTGGAGGGCACTGACTAGCCTGCTTTGGGAAAGGCTATCATTGCAGACGGGGGATTCAATGGTATTAAGCTTGGAGTACCTCCTTGCAAATGGCCGTTCTTCCGCTGCATTTTGGCTGCTGATAGGTTTTTGGAAGAGCCCGGTAACTGGATCCTATGCGTTTGCAGGAAGCATAATCAATTTCCCGACTCATTCCATCCCCAGATCGATCACTCAGCGGAGAAGCAAATGAAAGCTCTTTCACTCCAAGGAAGGATTTGAACTGTGCAAAGAGTTCTGGGAATTTCCTTAAAAAATGAACAGACATACGTGAGTAATTATATTCCACATCATCACATTCTGTCTGTTTTGTCCATTAAGTATTAATTACTTTCTTCACCATCTCTTATATTTCATACAGACCATGGTCAAAACTAAACTGAAACCTAGGACTTTCTTGACACAGCCCTAAACTCCCTCTCCATAATGTTATCTGCTTTAATCAATCACTCCGCTTAAGGCTCTTTTCAACCATCCTCTTGGTGGAGGGCTCGAGAGAACTCCCTTCAGAATCCCTTAACCTGCTGAAGGTTGTTCATTGCAGTAAGACACTCTCCCTTCTCTTGGAGGGCTAACAGCTCAATTGGCCTCCATCAGGTACTGCTACCACTATTTGCCTGTTTTATAGCATTGTTCTAAGACTTTATGGACTAAATGTTGTGTCAGATTTTATTTCTCCTCTGTCTGAATGATTCCTAAAATTTTGGCATTGCTAACCCAGAAGAAACCTTTGACTTCATAAGGTTTTCATGTTGAAGCATGAGAGAAAAAGTGACATAGCAAATGTTTAAAAGGTACACCCTACATGTCACTGGAAAGACAAGTTCACTTACCCTAAAAATGGGGTGACTAGCTGGAGAAGCTCTGAGCCTGACACTAGCTCCTGATTGAAGAGTGCTATACAGCGGAGGAAGTTCTCATACACTTCCTGACTCTTCAGTACCCTGCGCACCTGGCAGAGAGAGGGAAAATAAAAACTCTCATATCATTTGTATACTAGCTTTATTTTTATGCTGATATTTTAAAGAGTCTAAGCCTTTTTGCACAGAGCCAATAAATTCATATGCTCATCGGAACCTTGGAAGCAGCATGCATACAGAAGTGTCCTGTTATAAACAGTAGTTTAGTAACAGGATTTACACTACTATGAGGTTCACAATTGCTGAGAAGCAGAGAAAACACACACAAGAATATACTAGTATGCGTTTCCCTCAGGGTCCTCCCAAAACTCCTCCATTTGTTAGGAAACTGTTACTTAATGGATTCTACTATACCATAGAGAGAGTCGTAGAATACCAGTCAATTACTACCTATCTGACTGAAAGCAAGACCATGCAACAGGACGAGGCCAGATCACTGACCTTATCGAAGAAAGAAAACTCCTGCAACGTTCCATATTTTCCCACTGTCGCAACTGACAGATCTTTGGTACCTCGCAGTTTCATTTTCTTCTGTTGAAAAGGTTCGATATTTTTACTTCAATGGTTTTGATTCAAATACCAACAATTTCCATTTTACTGAACTGTAACTACCCCTTGCTTTGAGCCTTTATTCCAAAAAATCACAAACTAGCTTTGCCACATCACACCCTCCATGGAGGTCTGTATCAATGACCCCGAGCAAAAACAAAACAGGTTTGCACGACAGGTAAATGATAGGGTATAATCCTGCAGGAAACAGCAAGTTATTCAAGGGGAGAGGCCCAATTCAGTCCTTCTATCAAGTCCTCATTTTCCTGATACTTAGCACTTATATGTAACTTTATATTGTATCAAGGGACAATGCACTTGTCCAAACAATTTTCAACTTCCCTTTGTTAAGTGTCTTCAACACCATTTCCCTGCCCCCATTATTTATTTAAAAAATAAGGATTCTTTTACTTTTCCTTTCATGTTTGGCACTAGTCCTTTAAGAGGAAAGAGGACAGTACACCTATGACTTGTCAACTGACTCCTAATGGGATTTTATGAGTGCGCATATGGGCCATATCAATGGGGGAAATGCCTGTGGACAGACAGAGAGAGGGCAGTTGAGAGCTGCCTGGGAGTCAGGAGACTGGAGGTGGTGTCTGGGCAAAGTTGCATAAAGCAAGAAGCTTTCTGCAGACTCTCCATAGCAAGAGGGTGAAACTGTCAGGAAGCTAGTGGAGAAACGAGCCCGATGATGTTCCTGCACCAGAGAGTGATGGGCACAGAAGGCTGGAGAGGGCTGAAGGCGGAGTGCAGCAGAGGGAGATGCCTGCTGGCTCTCGGGGGTTGGGAGTTGAAGCCAGAGAAGGCTGAAGACTGGGGTCAAGGCATGGTGATATCTGGAATTTTACTGGTGAGGTGAGTGTGGTGAGAGATTCTAAGGATAAGAATGGCCGTACTGGGTTAGACCAATGGTCCATCTAGCCCAGTATTCTGTCTTCCAACAGTAGCCAATGCCAGATGCTTCAGAGGGAGGGAACAGGGCAATTTTGAGTGATCCATCCCCCTTATGTTGAGTCACAGCATCTGGCAGTCAGAGGTTTGGGGACACCCAAAGCATGGGGTTGTGTCCCTAATCATCTTGGCTAATAGCCATTGATGGACCTATCCTCCATGAACTGATCTAATTCTTTTTTGAACCTAGTTATACTTCTGTCTTTCACATCCCCTGGCAATGAGTTCCACAGGTTGACTGTGCATTGTGTTAAGTACTTCCTTTTCTTTTAAACCTGCTACCTATTAATTTCATTGTGTGACCCCTAGTTTTTGTATTATATGAAGGGGTAAATAATACTTCCCTATTCACTTTCTCCACACCAGTCATGATTTTATAGACCTCTATCCCATCCCCCACTTAGTTGTCTCTCTTCCAAATTGAACAGTCAGACTTTTTAAATCTATCCTTGTATGGACATTATTCCACATCCCTTACCATTTTTGCTGCCCTTCTCTGTACCTTTTCCAATTTCAATATATCTTTTTTGAGATGGGGCAACCAGAACTGCACACAGTATTCAAAGTGTGGGCATACCATAGATTTATGTAGTGGCATTATGGTATTTCCTATCTTACTATCTATCCCCTTCCTAATGGTTCCTAGCATTATATTAGCTTTTTGACCACCACTGCATACTGAATGATGTTTTCAGAGAACTATCTACAAATGACTCCCAAGATCTTATTCTTGAGTGGTAAAGGTAATCTAGAACCCATCAGTTTGTATGGATAATTATGATTATTTTTCCCCAGGTGCGCTACTTTGTGCTTATCAGCACTAAATTTCATCAGCCATTTTGTTGTCCAGTTGCCCAATTTTATAAGATCCCTCTCTAACTCTCTGCAGTCAGCTTTGGACTTAGCTATCTTGAGTAATTTTGTACCGTCTGCAAACTTTTGTCAGCTCATTGTTCACCTCTTTTTCCAGATCATTTATGAATATGTTGAACAGCACTGGTCACAGTAAAGATACTTCGGGAACCCCGCAATCTACTGCTCTCCATTATGAAAACTTACCATTTATTCCGATCCTTTGTTTCTTATCTTTTAACCAATTACTGATCCATGAGAGGACCTTCCCTCTTATCCCATGACAGCTTACTATGCTTTAGAGCCTTTGGTGAGGGACCTTGTCAAAGGCTTTCCGAAAGTCTAAGTACATTATATCAACTAAATTACCCTTGTCCACATGCTTGTTGACACTCTCAAAGAATTCTGATAGATTGGTGAGGCGTGATTTTCCGTTACAAAAGCCATGTTGACTCTTCCTCACCATATTGTCTTTATCTGTGTGTGAGAATTCTGTTCTTTACTATCATTTCAACCAATCTGCCTGGTAACTGAAGTTAGGTTTATGAGGCTTTAATTACCTGGATTGTATCTGGAGTGGGTTTTTTTTTTTTTGGGTAAATCAGTGTTACATGAGCTATCCCCCAGTCATCTGGTCCAGAGGCTGATTTAAGCAATAGAGTACATACCACAGTTAGTAGTTCTGCAATTTCATATTTGAGTTCCTTCAGAACTCTTCGGTGAATACCATCTGGTCCTGGTGACTTATTACTGTTTATTCTAGCAATTTGTTCCACAACCTTCTCTACTGACAACTCAGTCTGGGACAGTTCCTCAACCTTTGTCACCTAAAAAGAAAGGCTTAGGTGTGGGAATCTCCCTCACGTTCTCTGCAGTGAACACTGGTACAAATAATTAATTTAGTTCCTCCACAATGGCCTTGTCTTCCTTGAGTGCTCCTTTAGCACCCTAATTGTCCAGTGGCTCCACTGATTTGCAGGCTTCCTGCTTCTGATTTACTTTAAAAAAAAATTGCTGTCAGTTTTTGTATCTTTTGTTAGTTGCTCTTCAAATTCTTTTTTGGTTTGCCTAATTATACTTTTACCATTGACTTTCCAGAGTTTAATACCTTTCCATTTTCCTCACTAGGATTTGACTTCTAGTTTTTAAAGAATGCCTTTTTGCCTCTAGCCACTTCTTTTACTCAGTTGTTTACCCGTGGTGGCAGTTTTGGGTCCTTTTTTTTTAAATGGGCTACGCATTAGGTTTGAGCTTTTATTATGGTGTTTTAAAACATCTTCCATGCAGTTTGCAGGCATTTCACGCTTCTGGCTGTTCCTTTTAATTTCCATTTAATTAGCTTCCTCATTTTTGTGTCATTCCCTTATTTGAAGTTAAATGCTGCCATGGTGAGTTTCTTTGGCATTTTATCCCCCTACAAGTATCTTAAATTTCATTACATGGTGATCACTATTACTGAATGGCTATGTTGTATTCACCTCTTGAACCAGATCCTGCATTCCATGTAGGATTAACTCAAAAATTGCCTCACCTCTTGTGGGTTCCAGGACTGGCTGCTCCAGGAAGCAGTCATTTAATGAGTCTAGAAATTTTATTTCTGTATCCCCTTCCAAGGTGACATATACTCAGTCAATATGAGGACAGTTGAAATAGCCCATTATTATTGCATCTTCTGCCTTTGTAAGCCTCTCTAATCCCCCTGGGCACTTCACAGTCACCATCACCATCCTGGTCAGGTGGCTGGTAATATAGTCCTACTCTTATAATGCAAGCATGGAATTTCTATCCAGAGAGATTCTATGGATCTACTTAATGTACTGTCCGGACTATGGCTGTGGGACTTGTTATGATTTATGTATACAGGAGTTTTGTAATTAACCCTGAAAGGACTACATATACTTAAGGCCTATTTCTGGGGACTCTGATGGGAAAACTGAGGCATCCATGGCTGTCATACCATGGCCTGGCACTGGAGGGCACCCAGCTGAGGCTGCCCTATGACATGCTCTTAGTAGAATTTGAAAGTTGAGAGCAATTATCTCATATAGCACAGGTTATAGCAATGCCTAAGTATGAAAACAGTACACATTTCTGTTTGCAACAAGATACCTTTGCTGGGCTGGGAACAGGACGCAGCAGTAGTGGTCTGGATCGCTTTTTACTATGTTCCAGATTTTTTTCATGATCAGTTTTCTGGACACTGTTCATTTCACATGGCCCATTTCCTGTGAACTAAATTAAAGACAATGTTTTCAATTTGCCCTTATTAGTTCCTCAGAAATAGAGAACCCCATTTATCTGAACAGACTAGAGGACATGAGATTTCACTAAACGAGTTACCTAACTACAAAGAACAAATAGTGAGAGCATAGTTCAAACACTGATAGTCAGTTTTTCTATAACAATATTTTGCAGTGATGTAGCACCACTACACATATCACATACAAGCACAACCCATTGGAATAGCAAGAATTAACCCCTTAAAAAATTAATACTAAATGTTAGTTCTTTAGTAAGACATTAAGTTATATTCAATTGTTTCAGCTCTACATACAGCTACAAGGCTAGTTTGAAAATCTTGAGAAGGACCCAGTGGTAGCATCTTAACTGCACCCTAGAGTGAAACAGTCATCAGAAGTATCAGAGGGGTAGCCGTGTTAGTCTGAATCTGTAAAAAGCAACAGTCACCCATCCTGGACAATGATCCCTCACTTTCACAGACCTTGGGAGGCAGGCCAGTCCTCGCCCACAGACAACCTGCCAACCTTAAGCATAATCTCACCAGCAACCACGCACCGCACCATAACAACTCTAACTCAGGAACCAACCCATGCAACAAACCTCGATGCCAACTCTGCCCACATATCTATACCAGCAACACCATCACAGGACCTAACCAGATCAGCTACAACATCACCGGCTCATTCACCTGCACGTCCACCGATGTTATATATGCCATCATATGCCAGCAATGCCCCTCTGCTATGTACATTGGCCAAACTGGACAGTCAGTACGCAAGAGGATAAATCACCCGCAGTCAGATATCAGGTACCGCAATATACAAACAACTGTACGCGTACACTTTAACCTC